TTTTGTAAGTTTTGTCCATAAAATTGTATAATTTTTAGTGACAATAAAGCATATTCCTATTCTAGTCTATCTACACCTACTGAAACCAATCTGCCATAATAATAACAAATCTTGTAGATGAATCGATGTATGTAGAGGAAATATTTAGTGAAGCCTTCGAAAACTTTAAACATAAAATACATTATTATTCTTCCTTCTCGTGTTATCTATCTTTTGCAACGTGAAATATCTATCCTACATTGAGGTCTCCCACTCCTTTGCCTGATTGCGTGTAAAAGAGAGAGAGAGTATTTATCATTTCAAAGTATGTGCCCCAGGTATTTGTCTTATTCCATCTATCTTTAGAATATATCTTCTATATGCAATTCGCATTATTACTTCTTCATTTGTTAGTTTAGCCATCCAAGAACTTTTAAAATTACGTCTGTAGAGCCCCAGTTTGAATTCACCTTTTTATTGGACGAGATTTCAATGTCTAAGTTACTACTCCATATAGCAGCTGCGACTCAATTTTTGATTTGTGAATATTGAGTTGTATTTTACAAATTCTTTTCGGGCTATTATTATTACTTTCATGAGATTTATGGCAAAACACATTAAAAGCAAATATTTACAAAATATAAAAAGAGGAAAGAGGAAAAGTTATACTGGATTATTTCCTTTTACAAGGCATCTAGCAAAAGAGTAAGAGATCTGAAAGATAATTCGGCTATTACATTACACGAACTGTTACGACCAAAACGTATGGTCTACAGGACACTACAAGATGACAGAAATCTTCTCTTCTCTTAAATGCTATAAATATCCCTGATAGTACGTAGCTGATAAGTAAAAAATACACTTTTCGATCCCAAAAATGATGTAGTTATAATTTATTTTAGATTATTTTATTATAAAACGTGTTGTGTAGAATGTCACGCAAGGATAATTCGGAAGATAACAATTTACAATCCTGGCCTCATGCACATCATAACAATGGAAATGCAGAGGGTAAAAAAGTATTTTAAATGTAGCAATATTCTTAGATTACTTATGCAGTATACAATTAAATGTATTACAACAATAACTGCTGTAATCCAACTATAATATATACAAATAAAGGAATGTAACAGTCGAGCCGAATGGATTTGACGCAATGATGCTTATTGCTTCACATAATCCCCTTCTTTTGTATTCATTTATTAGATACGCATTGAATTTATTTTGCCGGTTAAATACGATTTGATATTATGAACTATTTTTTGGCGATATGTTTTCATGATTAATTTTTTTCAATAAATTTTTAATTTATTGGTTTCCCATGGTTGAACTACACAATTACAAATATTCGATTAAATATACATATATTATATGAATATATATATATATATATATATATATATATATATATATATATATATATATATATATATATATAATTTATTGTGTTGGAATATCGGGTATGCGGTCTGTTATTATTAAAAAAACTCTTTTTTCTTTTAATCCTCTATATTTCGCTGATTTTTTGTCAGCTTCATCAGGAGACAACTAAAAATTTGAATAAAAGTTATATAAAAATCAGTTTAAATAAAAAGTGACTCACTTACAGATTTAGAGTGGAAAGTATTTAAACAAGTTGTTGAACATAATTTGTTCAAAATAGTACTGACAGTTTTTATTAAAAGTACCTAGGTCACTAGTAATTAAATGTAAAAATATAAAAACAGAGCAAACAAAAACAACGAAACAATTAAAACACAATTAAATTACACATTAAAAATATACAGGGTGATTTAAAACATAATTGTTAACAGAAAAATTATTTAGACATACTAAGAATATTACAGTAGATATTGCTCAACTGTCCCGTGTCTGCCTTGTAATTTACTGCATAGTTTTCTCTATTTATATGACACATTTCCAAAAACAATCTTTTTTTGTAATTATTTTCTTGCTGTTAAACCCTGACATTTAAGTAATCAAATTGATGGCCAGTTTTTAAGTGATGGTCAACTGCCGCACATGTGTTCTTCCGTTTTGTGCAGTCACTTTTGTGTTGGGTGACCCTTTGTTTTAGCCATTGAGAAGTTTGGCCAACATAACAGCTCTGGCAATCCAAACAAGGCAGTTTGTAGATAACATTAGTTTTGTTTAAAGTTGGTGTCTTGTCTTTTACTTTAGAAAACAGTTGTCGGTTTTCTAATAAATTATATTGGACAATTTTTATGTTGGTAAATTGTTTAAATAAACTAGTCACAGAAGGTGTTAACTGTTTTATTAATGGTAGTTTTTTATATTGTGTTGTTTGTACTGCTCCGATATCAGTGGGACCGTCAAAAATGTCAGAGTTAAATATCAATTTTTTAAGGATATGTTTTGGGTATCCATTATTTTGAAAGATGTTTAACAGCAAATTTAAGTTTTTGTTTATGAATTTATCGTCACTAATATGCCTTACCCTATTCTTCATTGCAATGACTGTATTAAACTTTTGGTGAGTAGGATGATTTGAAAAAAAGTTTAAATATCTTCCAGAGTGTGTTGGCTTTTGATACCAATCTATCAATATTTTGTTTTGTTCTGTTCTTATTATTTTGGTGTCCAGAAATGATATCGAACAATCATTTTCAATCTCTAAAGTAAATTGGATATGTTTATTAAAGTTATTGAAAGCGTTTAAGGTATTTTGAATTTGTGAAGTAGGAACAGAACATATAAGATCGTCTACAAATTTTTTAATGAAGGGTAAAGAGAAAGGTAATTGTGGAATAATGACATCCAACAAATGGTCCAAAATGATAGTTGCTATTATGGGGCTGAGTGGACTACCCATAGGTGCTCCAAATATTTGTCGATAGAATTTATCATTAAAGCTAAAATAGGTGTTCTCAAAAACATAGTTCAGAAGTGTTAAAAAACTATCCTTGGAAATTGTTGTATAATTTTGGATGAGATTCCATTTTGACTGTATTATACTACTGACCAGATCTATTGGTATGTTAGTGAATAACGATATAACATCTAACGAAATTAAAACATAATCTTTCGGTAAAATTAACTCTCTAACATCATTAACAAATGAAAATGTATCCTTTGCATTATAGTTGTTCACTTCGTCAAAAGCATCTTTAAGAATGTTAGCAAGAAATTTGGATAAGTCATAAGTTACTGAATTTATAGAGCTTACAATAGGTCTAAGTGGTATACCTTCTTTATGGATTTTTGGTAAACAGTAAAGTTTTGGACAAGATGCATTGTATATAGTCAGTTTTTTGGTTATTCCTCATAGTTTTAATAAGTTCAGTATAAGAAAATTGTATCGTAATAGTTGGATCTCTTTTTAGCTGAAAATATGTAATTTTATCATTTAATAAGCTTTCTGTTTTTTCAATATATTCGGTTTTGTTCATTGCTACTGTACACCCTCCCTTATCTGATTGTAAAATATAAAGATCTGGATGTGATTTTAAGAATTTTTGAGTTTCTTTGAATATTTTATTTAAAACACTAGAATGTTCTTTGTTGGAATGATTTAAGTAGTTAGTAACGACATTAGTAACTTTTGCTCTTAATAAGTCTTTAGATGTATCCGGTATTGCATCTATTATGTTTTCTACATCGCCTAAAAAATTATCTAACTTAAAATCTGTTTTTGGACAAGAAACCCCAAATTTTGGATCCAGAGACAGGAAGTCAGAAACATTTGTGGGAATATTAACAGAAGATATATTTTTGAACCATTTACTGTTGTCATTAAATAGCTTATTTACTTTAGGAGTTTCGTTAGAATATAATTTTTCATATTTGTTAATGTTCTTTATCTTAATATATCTAAAAATATAATCAAAAGATCGCTTTAAACTGGCTTCAAAATCATGTATGATGTGCAATGGTAAAATATTCTGTATCTAACTTAATAATAACAGACCGCATACCCGATATCCCAACACAATAAATTGTTTTTTACGATTCGGTCGATAATCTTACCAGTTTTGCTATATATATATATATATATATATATATATATATATATATATATATATATATATATATATATATATATATATATATATATATATATATATATATATATTTATATATATATACATATATATATATATATATATATATATATATATATATATATATATATATATATATATATATATATATATATATATATATATATATATAAAGGCGACTAATAATTGCTACAGTAGAATTTTCCTAATTAGGGAACGTATAGGTTTCAGATAATGAGTGTAAAGAGTCTGGCCGGGTTATTTTTCGATTGAGGGGCTGTCGTAAAAATCCGCTACACTGTTCCCATTATTATTATGGATATTATTATATTTGATTTTTTAGGAGTTTACCTAAAGTAACAAATAACTACACAGTGTAAATGAGTGTAATACCTGTGCACCTCTGGTTCTTCAGGTAATTTATGTCTATTTGCTAAGAATTTGTTTGTAGCTACGAAATATTCTGTAGGTAACTTCAAATTTAATAGTACTTCTATTATATAAGACAATTATATTTTAATATTGATTTATATTCGATCATCGGAAGTAAATAAATATTATCATTAATTAGTTTTACAAAAACTTTAAAACGTCGCAAGTATCAGCAGCTATTGAATGTCATATGTATTACTTGTTGCCTAACTGTAAGGACACATACAAAGATTTCTATTAATTGGCGAAGGAGCCCGGAAAGATGTGTTTTATATTATTTACTACAGGAAGTCATTTTAATTGAGACGTATTTAAGACTATATTTGATTTTACAACAGAGATATATTTATTATTTATTTATAAATTCACAAACTAAAAAGAAATATAAACCTGCATAGACACTATAATTTTTGCATTACAGGAAATATTCTCATCACAAATAAATCTCAACTAATTTCTCACGTATGGTTATTTACAATACAATTTCTTTGAAATAATAATTCTGAATTATGGATTGCCTCATTACTACTGGTATTATTTTAAAAGAATATTTAACTTGGTACTCACGCTTTGGCCTCTGCCTCCGCTTCCTTTTCTTTTTCTTCCTGAACATTAACGACGGTGTTTGGCGGCGGTGGTAGGTCGTCCATTGGAAGGGTGTCCTCCGGGGGCGTAGGAGGCGTTTTGTCGAATTCGGCGATAGGTGCCAACTCTGGCATGGGGGACACTGAATTACTTTCCATTACCACTGAAAATACTAGTAAATAATTTTAGGGTACTGTGTTAAATGATAAAATTGTTAGATAATATTTTAATGAAGGTACCTAATGCTTATTTCTTATGAAAGATAAATAAGGACAGATTTTATTAGTAAATTAACACCCAGCTTTGGAAAAAGGCAGTATATGCTAATTTGTGATAATTTTATATTGCTACGTTTAACAAAACTAATCACATAAAACACCTAAATATTTTACTGATTTTCTACGTGACAATATAGCCGTTAAAATTGCAAGGAAATTGTATGTACCTATAATTTTTTTAGAACATGTAGTTGATAAGGCTGACTTGAGTTACATTAAGTAATAAATTACTATTTAACTGGGAATAAGCCACAATTAAAGATAAAAATACGTTTATTGACGTTTCAATTAACTATTTATATTTCAATTTTATTAACAAAAAACAAAAATTAAGTAATAAATGTAGGGGAGGGAAGGGTAAAGTGAAATAGCACGTTTTCAATTTCTTCCGCGAACGGAGCCACCACTGTTTACAATCCAGTCAATATTTAGAAGTAGTACGTGCTTATCGACCATTTTGTGGCAGTCGTTGATGTTATTGAAAATATCACTGTTTATACATTTTTGAGCGACAATTTGTAATATCTGCAGGTGAGTGTAATTGCTAAATCTTCTATCTTGTTTAGCTAAACATATTTTTGAAACTAACACACAAAAACAATTATAGTTAACCATCTATTATACAAAATATAGATTGTTAGGTTAGGGTTAATAATTTTTACTGGACCAGTATTGCTTTTAAATCCATTTGATGCAATGTAAAATATTAATAGATGGGGCAAACTAAAATATCGTTTCACTTTGCCCCAGATACTTGATTATCACCAATAAATAAAGAATATCTGTCTTTCCAAGTGTAAAATGCGAAATTATAAACGAAAAACGACCCAACAACAATGGTCGGTGGAGTCAATGAAATCTGCAATCAGGTCTGTGCGAACTGACATCCTTAGCCAAAATCAAGCTGCTAGGTAATACGGAATTCCTGTTGATACGTTAAATCGGAGAATCAAATCCGGTAAAAATGAGGAAGAAGCGTCAAGAAAAGCTAGGCCGATTTCAAACCGTATTCAGTCCGGAACAGGAAGAAGCATTAGTTGATCACCTTATTGGTACGGATAAGTTGTTTTTTGGTCTTTCTTATTTAGAACTAAGAAATTTAGCTTTCCAGTATGCAGAAATTAATAAAATTCCAAACAAAATTTCACAAACAAAACTGTTTAGCTGGTGCAGACTGGTTGTACAACAACACCTTGTTCATATTTTAGTAATTCCTCCACATACGTCACATAAGCTCCAGCCACTTGACATAAGTTTCATGTATCCTTTAAGCAATTATTATACTCAAGAGGTTAGAAACTGGCAGAGAAACAAATGGAATAAACTTATTTAATTGAGAGGGCAGCCACCCTCTCAAATGCAAAAAATGGTTTTGTCAGCAGGTATTGTCCCATACGATAATACCAAATTTTCAGACATAGATTTTGCACCGTCACAAATAACAAAACGAGAAAATATTTTTACAAAAACCCCAGATTATTTTCCAGCAATAGCTTCTATTTTCTTGAGCCAATGAGCTGTGAACCTTCGGCTTCTCGTGATTTAAATAATCAGGTAACTAAAGAAAGAGTTGAACTTAATATTGAAATATCCGCAGGTAACAATAATAAAAACGACCAGACACCTCCGAGCAAGAGTGATTTATCAATTTCTTGTCGTTTATTTTATAATGTAAAGAACACTTCCGACAGCTCACACACATCAGCAACAAAAGCAACATCAAAACTGACAAAAAAGGGTGGAAAACGTAGGCATCGTAAAACTGCTATTATAACATCTACCCCGTATTTGTTAGATATAAAGCAGAGTTTCGATACAAAAACCGTAAAAAATGTTAAACGAAATTTGAGCCAAGGAAATATTAAAAGTAAGGCTAAAAAAATGAAGTCCCTAAAAACATCTTCTTCTTCTTTTTTGGGTGCCGTGTCCGTATTCAGACGTTGGCCGTCATCATGCTTACAATTTCCTGAAACCTTTCTCTGTCGGCTGCTGCGCGAAATAATTTTTCTACTGTGAAACCACACCATTGTCTAATATTACGCAGCCATGAAAGTTTCTTTCGACCAATCCATCTCTTTCCTTCCACTTTTCCTTGTATTATAAGGCGAAGTAAATGGTATTTGGGTCCTCTAATTATATGGCCGAAGTATTCTGTTTTTCTCCTCTTTATGATGTTTATGAGCAGACGTTCTGAGTTGATCATTTGAAGAACATCTTCATTGGAAGTGTGCGAAACCCACGATATTTTTAGGATTCGTCTATAGCACCACATTTCGAATGCTTCTAACTTGTTTAGCATTGTGGTTTTTAACGTCCATGTCTCACAACCATACAATAGGATCGACCACACATAACATTTCAGGACCTTCTTACGAATGTTCATTGACAGGTTTCTGTTGCATAAAACTGGTTTCCAGGTCATAAAAGCCTTACGTGATATTTCGATCCTTCATATTATCTCTTCATCAGAGTCACAATTTACATGTAACCAGCTGCCAAGGTATTTAAAATGATTTACCCTTTCTATCTCTTCTCCATTAAGAGAAAGCAGACCTTGATCTATATGGATCTTTCCAACTGCCATCCACTTTGTCTTTGAAATGTTGATTTTTAGGCCTCTCCGATAACTTGCTTCACTGACTACATTTAGTAATGTTTGGAGATCTTGTAAACTTTCTGCAAGAATGGCTGTATCGTCAGTGTATCTAATATTGTTGATTACTTCTCCACCTAGTCTTACTCCCTCTTGTTTGTCATCCAAAGCCTCCCCAAAGATTTCTTCAGAGTACAGATTAAAAAGAGTGGGTGACAAAACACAACCCTGGTGTACTCCACGTTTGATGGGTATTTTTTCAGTGGGACTGTCTCCAATTTGGATAGAGGCTACTTGATTGTAATATAAGTATTTCAGCAGTCTTATATCATAGTGGTCAAGTCCTGCTGCCCGTAGGCAGTCGAAAAGTGTATTGTGTTGGACTCTGTCGAACGCCTTCTCGAAGTCGATGAAACAAACATAAACATTCTTTCCGAATTCACAACTTTTTTGTAATAGAACGCGCATACAGAATAGTGCCTCTCTAGTTCCTAGACCGTTTCTAAATCCAAATTGCTTATCACCCATCTTACTTTCGCATAGAAGGAATACTCGGTTTTGTATAATTCGTAAGAGTATCTTCAGTGTGTGACTCATCAAAGTAAAACTACTAGTTTGACTACTACTACTAGAAACTAGTGTGACTAAAAACATCGGTGGAACCTAAAAGCTCTTCCAAAGAGTCCACGAATATATGCCAGGATTCTGATTTAGAAGAACTTATTTCACTAGACGATGAACTAGAAACAACAGAGTTACTTCGTCGAAAAGATAAGGAATTTACTTTAATATACAAGAATATTGAAAAAGATGATTATGTAGTGGTAATTTTAACAGAGATAAGAAAGGGAACAGCCATGAAATTTATTGGAACAATTAAAGTGTAGTTTTTAGAAAACATTTACGAGGAAGAAGCATATGACATAACTTACCGGAGAAACTACAGAAACCACCAGGACTCATTTGTATTTTCAGATATACCTGACGACAGTGTTATTTTAAAAAGTATAATTGTCAGCATTCTCAGCAATTTTTCTGCACTCCGTCATGGAATAATTAAATTTTCATAAATGTTTTTATTATTTTTAAATTATCATTTGCAACAAATACTCGAATAGGTACTTTTGTGTTATTTTTCCTAATTCAATTTTCATTTTAAAGACTTTTTATATATGCTAGTTATATCTGACATTACCCCACCAACTTTTCACTTTACCCAACCGTGTGGGACAAAGTAAAAAAAAGACAATGCCTGACAGACCCTGACATAACAAAAAATTTACTGACTTATTTAATTTGTATTTTACGATAATGATCACAAACGTTGCGGTTATAAGATATGTTATTTATAAAATCTTATTTCGAAAAATGTAAAATTTATTTAATTTCAAAGTTTAGCTATTCCACTTTACCCTACTCTCCCCTAAGTATACTTAGAGGACATCACAGTACTGTACTTAGAACAGAACTAAAAACAAGTGTATAAGTTAGGAATTAGGATATAATTACGTCTACATATTGGGATTTTAAATGTCATCAGTTTATTGACAAAGTGAACATAAAAACAATAATATTATGAATATGTGAAAGTTGATGGTTACTTTCAGGTCACTGTACACAAACAATATGACATTTTATTACTTTGGCACTACAAATATTTTACCTCAAGGCTGTTTCAAAATTGAAGAAAGTGTTAACACTACTGATATTGCCAAATTTTAAATGAACATTGCATTTTGTGTGCATTAGTTCATTTACACTTCAATGTGTCTTCTTTTTCTTCTTCATTATTTGGGTATTTGTTGTCTGTTGTCTGTTTCTGTACCAAATTTTTCTCCTTCTTTTTAAGGGGTGTCTTTTCTTTGTAGTTTAATATTTGTTTATTAGTCGATTTTCATTGCTTCAATTAAGTGTTGTTACCATTTTGTTTTAAATTCTTTTATTTTCTCGTTGATAGGATATTTAGTTCTTGAATTACGTCTTTATTTTTCGGTCATTCAAGTCGTACAATACCTTTCACTTCTCTGAAATTTTTCAGTGTATCGTTTCCGGTCCTGTTCCTTAATATTCTGTGAATTATTTCGCATGTGTACAGAAACCTTTAAATTATGTGGTCAATGTCCTCTACCTTTCTTAAATCTTGTGCAACAAGTACAGTCGTCAGAGATTTGACTCCTAAAAATCATATGAAGAAACAGAATTCAGAATGTTAGCAGAATTCTGTTCAGCAGAATTTGACAATGTCAATTTTGGGACCTCAAAAAATTTTCAAAAAAAATTAGTACTTATACCCCCGGACTT